TATCCAGGCAATGCCAGCTCCAGGGCCGAGCGCCTATGCTATTTCTGGACTCTGTGGGCGCCAGGAGAATGACTTGATTCTCCCGGTAACCTAGATTACTGAGCAAGCCGTGTCTGGAATTAGAAGCCAGGGAAAGCGCATGCAGTGTGGCGTCTCTGCTTCCTGCGTGGCTGGGTTGGTTGTTTCCTGGCGGCTTCCTCTCAGCTGAGCGAAGCCGGCAGGGGAGAACAGGGTTTGGGAGGGGAGCTAAGCCTGGAAATCACTCGGGGCTTTCAGGATGAGGTCAGGGCTCACACGTGCTGTGTGCAGCGAGCTGGCAGAGAGTCAGTCTCAGCTTCACGAAAGTGCTGTGCTGGGACTTTTACAGTTTTGCACATCACTCTCTTGGCTGCTCCAGTGAAGCAGAGAGGTTCCTGGCAAAGCCAGAGAAACAGCTGGAAAACTGCATGCTGGGGGATGGAGGGGGGGCAGAAACCCTGGATGGGTGGTCTCAGCTCAGTATCCCCTCGAGCCAGGCAGGGCTGGGATGGAGCCCCTTTTCTGGGCCAGAAGCAGCCGGAGATCACAGGGATGAGGGACAGTTGCGTGTCTCTGGTGGGGTTTCCTTAAGCCGTTCTGTGATGAGGCCCAGCGGGCAGCAAGGGGCAGCATGGGCCTCAGATAGAAGCCTCATCCTCAGTCCTCCTACCCATGACCCTCTACTGCCAGGGGCTTCCAACTCCCGTGCACAAGGAGGTCATCAGTAGGATCAGAAGGAACACACACAGATTCCGGGGGAAAAGAACTAACCCAAGGGATGCTGGAAAATAGCGGTTTTAAACTTTTTTTAGTAGTACATGTCTGCAGTATGCAGTGTTCTGTTTATCACGGGAGCCAGGACATACACACACATCTTATTCCTTTCTCCCTCTCTCTCTCTCTCCATCTCTTTATTTCCTCTCCTTTTCTAAAATAACTAATTTCCTGTTTCCTCCAATCCAACTTTCATTTTGATCTTTTATTTATTTACACTGTGGGTTTCTTGCACCAGAGGAACCGTGGTGTCTCTACGAGACCTGTAAGGTTGAACACAAAAGCAACTTCTTAAAAATTTTGAGATCCAGGGGGCAAAGTGGTTTCCCCTGGGGTCCAAGAGAATAAAGCCGAGACTGCTGGACACACACACACAGCGCTGAACAGTGAGGGACACGGGTTGTGGCCACCTGGCCGTCTCCCAAGTTATCCTGGGAAACCACAGTGCTCCCCTGACCTGAAGTGTCCCTCACTGGCCTGGGGAGATGAGGTGTGTGGGACATACACAGGATGGATAAGGGGCCTCTCAGGATCGTGTTTAAACATTGCGAGGAAAATCAATGCCTATTACATTACCTCCCCCACACTGAGGATTGAACCCAGGTCCCTCGCACTGAGCATCACCCCCAAACTTTCAAAAAAAATTAATTTTGAGATAGAATCACACCAAGTCACTAAGCTGCACAAGCTGTGCTCCTGAGCCTCCTGCCTTGCCCACCCTGAGTCTTTAGACTACACACGTGCACCACCACGTCCCCTAAAATCACCTTTTTCTTTGCTGTGGTTCCCAAGTTGGAGGATCAGACGGAGCCCAGCTGGGCGACAGCTATTTGCTCTGTGGTTTCCAGGCCCCAAACAGAACACTGAAAGCCTGACTGGTCTTTGCTCACCATTTTATGGTTGATGGAGACCTTCACTGAGGCTGGGGCTAGACCACTTACTGTGGCCTCTTCAGGTGGTGGGGGCTTCCTTACAGCATGGCGGACAGGTCCACACGGAAGAGGAGAGGGAACCAGGAGGAAGCCATATTCTTTCTGCTGTTGGAGCATGGACCATCAGAAAGTGTCCTTCTGGGCATTCCATTGTCCCAGAACCACCCAGCCCAGGATGAGGGAGTTGTTAAGCTGTAAGAAGTCACAAAAGTGGTGTGATCACCTTGGGGAATTCGGGTTTCCACAACCCCGCTTCCCCATCTCTCTCCTCTTCTGACACCAATACGGGTCCACTTGGGGGTCACTGGTTTCAGATCGCCTATGTGTCTTTCATACTTGTACAAGAGTTTGACTGGGTGCTTTTGAGGGAAGGCTATCTTGCTCGACTTTTTACATAAATAGGATCATCCATATATTCCTTGTATCTTGTGATTTCATGTAACACGAATTCATTTATTATGGGATGGCATTCCATAGTTTGATTATGTTACTGGTTTTTTATTTCACCATTTCTCTATTTTGATGGGTCTTTTACATGAATCCTATATTTTTCTGTTACTAAACAATGCTATCATAAATTTTTTTTTAGACTAAATGTAATTGTTTTCCAGGAAAGAGATGGCAGTGAAGGGTCTGCCCAGCTTCCCACGAGACAGGTCAACAAGAGACATAGGAAGATTCACACCCTGTGTCCTCAGCAACACTTGTTGGTGTTCGTCTTTCAACTTTTGCAGTCTGGTGAGTGGGAAGGATGCAGTGTGTACCACGCTTTTAAGCTACTATGGTTCCTTTATCTCAGTTACCAGCAGTCTCTGCTGCTTCTTATGAGAATTACCCATTCTTTTCCTTTACTTATTTTTCTGCTTATTTTTACAGAGAAACACCAATTCCAATGGTGAGATGATTCTTTTTTTTTTAAGCAACAAAGTTAAGATGACAAACATTTTCAATGCTTGTGAAAACTGGCATCATTTAGTTGAGAAAAATTGTCCTATCATTATGAATCTTCATTAGTCTTTTAATTTCTTCTTAGTTTAACTCAAACAATAACCTCTGGGTCGTGTGAAAATATTCTGGTCATTTCACAGGAGATGAGGCCAAAGTTCATTTTTATAATAGTGAATAAAAATTTCAGCAGTATTTATTGTCTGAGCCTTCTTTTCCTGGGAAATTGCTGTTTGTGTTGTTCCTTAAAAATTCCAAACTTGGGGCCAGGGATTTAGCTCAGTGGCATAAACACCTGCATGGCAAGCTCAAGGTCGTGAGTTTGAACCTCAGAATCAAAAAAAAAGAAGCAAATTCCAAACAGCCCTGCCTAGAGTCACTTTCGTGGCTGATCTTGTGTTTCTTCTGGCGCCTCTTGGTTGTTAGGAAGCAGGTTTCCATATTTACCTGGTAAGAAAGAGTGCACTCCTGATCTCCTCTTCCAAGGGGCATCCGCCTTGGCTGCTGCAGGTGTGACTTCCCGTGCCTCTGTGGGCCTCCTGGTGTGGCCACTCCACCAGCAACCTCAGCGGGGAGCAGGGGCAGGGAGATTCTGGGTGTGTGCGTGTGATGTCGGTGTTGCCCCTGGAAGATGAGGGTTATCTTTAATTCATTCCTTTGTGAGCTGTTTAGGACTTAGAATTCAAAGAAATCAAGTCAGTGAGGCTGAGTGGGTTGGGAAAGGATTAGTAAGCCCTGCAGTGGGGCATGGTGGACTGTGCTGGAGGATGTGGTTCAGCTGCGTAGACATTCAGAGTAGAGGGAGACAGCGGACAGTATGTGCCAGGCCGCTGGTGGCCCAAACATGGAAGAGGCGATTCTCAGAATCCTCCTGGGAGCAGGCTGTCACCAGGTGGCTGCAGAGATCCAAGGGGCGGAGAGAGACACCTTTGCAAGGCAGAGGATGCCTTGTCCACCTGATGCATAGCGTGTTGATTTTTTAATTTGGCAATTGTTTGTAAAGTGCCGAACTTTGTGGGCCGAACTTTGCGCCAGACACTAGGTTATGATGAGCAAAATAAAAGACATCCTTATGGTAAGGCAGGCACACGTGGACTCATACGCGCAGGAGGGTGGTGGCAGAGCAGGTCAAGTGAGGACAGGACCCTTAGGGAGGGTCAGAAGAGCAGCACAGGTCCTTTAAAGGTAGGAGAACACCGGCCTCTGTGATCGCCCTGAGACAGTGCTACATGCTGCTGGCAGTTTTGGGGTTTTACCCCCAGAGCAGTCTGTGGTTTTCCTTCTGCTGCTGCTCAGGCGAGATTGGGTACCTCGGCTCCTCCTCGTGCTGGTTCCCGTGCTTACCTGTTTCCTTATTAACCCACGGAACCCAAACCCCTAGCAACAAGCAGTCACCCTTGAAGGGAGACGTGTGCAGACCCTGACCGTATGAAACAGGTCCGCTGCCCCATGTTCAGTACCCCATATCCCAGCTCCAGGAGCCCAGTCCTCACTTTGACACCTCCTTTTGCAAGTAAACTCACTTTTGCTTTCACTTTGCCCTGTGCATGACTCGTCTTCCTCTTATAGGTCAGGGAGAGAGAGAGGAGGCCATCGGACACAACTGAGGTTGGGCTGGCGGCCTCAGACCCCAAGCTACAAGTGGGCTGCTCAGAGCAGTAGACATGTTGGCATAGTCAGGTGACAGCGAGCCACATGAGGCGGTGGGGGCAGCCTGCAGGAGGAGGGAGGGGAGGGCTGGGAGCCTGGCCGGGGTTCCCTGCAGTGTGGGCGCACAGTAGAGGCTGGGGCTGTGGAACTGTGCAGGAGGACAGTTGGGGGACAGAGGGTTTTGGAGCACAAGCAGTGTTGGTGAGGAATTCTGGGAGGCAACAGATGTGACCTTCCACTGTGTCCCTGGTGGAAAATGAGACCCTTTTTTTCCTTTGGCATTGGGCTTTCACACAAAGCTACGTCCCCAGACCTTTCTATTTTCTGAGACAGGGTCTTACCAAGTCACTAAGCTGCTGGGTTCACATCTGCCACCTCCCGGCCCCCACCTCTCTGAGACAGGACTGATACTCAGGTGTGCGCCACCGCTCCCGGAGAGGCAGGACTGCTTTGATCCCTGGCGATGGCTGCTGTGAGTCTGCGTGCAGGAAAGTGTGTGTCTCCCACAAATGTCCACATATTTGTTGGCGCTGCTGCACACTGCGTGCCTGTGTGTGTTCACTGCTTGTGGATCTGAGTGATCAGGAATGATGCATGGGCTTCCGTGTCCACTGTGTTTCTGTGTTTATGTCATCCATCTGTGTGCACCTGTGGTGGTCTACGTTTTGTGTGTGTCCCTGATAACACACAAGGCAGAGCTACATCCCCAGGGAGACGAGCTCACAGTGGGAAGCACGGCCTGGCTCCTAGGCTCAGAACAGAATGTGTCACTGGTGACATCACAGAGCAGAGCCTAGTAACCGTGGCGGCCCAGGGGCCACTCGGGCCAGGGCCAGCTGGAGGGCTCAGCACTGCCCAAGCCAACTCTCGCCCACAGCAGTGGCACAGAGCAGCAAGAGTGGTTTTGGATCATGAAGCACCACTTGAAAGACCTACGAGGAGGAGAGTCCACGACTGATAGGACCACCCCCAGCGTGACCAGCCTGGGGTCCGCGGAGGGCAGTCTGGGAGCATTATGGCCAGGTAGGGAAAAAGAGAGGACGGGGGTGAGCTGTGTGGACCCCAAGGAAGGATGCTCCACAAGGCCAGGTGGTTCCCAATGCTGAGGGTGTGCTAACCACAAAGATAGACCTGACGAGGGCCAGGAGATTGGTATTTGCCAACAACCTAGGCTAGGTGAGTACAGGCAATGGCTTCAGGAGCTGTGTGGACAGAAATGGGAGATGTTAACCATCGGACATTCGTTTTAATGCACAGTTGATAAAACAACATATCAATGCTGTGACTCCACTGTGACATAAGAATCCCCTTATAATACATGCAGACTAGAAAGCCTCAGGATGTCCCCACGCTCCGCCCGTTGGGGGAATGCTGCTCTTGGGGCACAGTGGCTGCATCAAGCTTTTTTACTCTCTTTGTGAAAATCAAAATGGTTAACCTTTTCTGAACTTAAAGACACAGTAAGTGTCCCAGGAGAGGGCATGAGACCTATAGGACAGAGACCTGTCCCAGATGGTGTGAGACCAGAGCGACGGGCGGTCTTGCTCTTTAGACACCAACACAGAGCAGGAGTTTACAGACATGGCCTCTGGCAACTGTGTGTGTCCACTCTGGAGGCCCGTGACATGTGGGCCTCCAGAGAGCCACCATGGCCACAGCCCACAAAACGCTGCCATGCTAAGTCCCAGCAGCCCGTGCACCTGTATGGCAGCCTCCCAGCTGCCGGCAGGCTGTTCTGTCCCCATAGCTTTGCCTTTCCTGCAATGTCATCCTGGCTGGCAGATGTCTTGCATGGCATTTTCAGTGTGGCTCCTCTGTCTAGCAAATGCCGTGCCACACACATCCCCAGTCACCTCAGTTTACCCAGGAGCGGGACTGCGTGGTGTCTGGAGCGTCTGTCCTACGAGGGCCACGCCACTGTCTCTGTATTCCTCCATGGGTGGCTTTTGGGGACTCAGTCAAGCTTCTGGGTGGCCACATCCATCATGGCCTTTGGTCATCTCGCGGGATGGACACTGTCACCCCGATGGCAGCAGGAAATGAGCAGAGGCAGCTGGCTGTCCCGAGGTCCCCTCCTAGCCTGCCACTCCTAGAGGTAGCTTCCACCCTGTCCCTGTCCCTGAAGGGCACTGACGCCATGTCCTTGGGCTCCGCAGGGACCACAGAGGAGCCGGTGCTGGCCCGCGCGGAGGACTTCTCCTCCAGGACTCCGTGGCACATCCCGCTGGGCTGGAGCCGCTCTTCACCCTCTGCGTCTTCATCCTCGTATCATTCCTACTCTCCGCGACCTTCTAGCCACCTGACCCCGCGCGGAGACCGGGACCCCGGCCCGCGGAGCGTGCCCGCGCTGTACACCCGTGTGCAGACCGTGCGCGGCGTGGCCGTGGCCTGGGAGACCGAGGCCGGCTTCGCGCCCATCGGCAGCCAGCCGCGCATCCGTGAGGCCCAGTTTCTGGGGCGGCAGCGGCAGTGGGGCTCCTCCTTCGAGGTGGCCTCCAACACCGATCTGCGTGGGGACCTGGAGGCCTGCGGCGACGAGCACGAAGGGGAGCCCGAGGAGGACGCTGGGCGCGAGGACGCGGAGCTGGAGCAGGAGCTGCGCGAGCCTCCGGACTCGCTGGTCACCACCAGACACGGGCTGCGCTGTGTGGCCTGCTGCCGCGTCTTCCCCTCGCTGCCCGCGCTGCTGGAGCACGCGCGGCACGGCATCCAGGAGGGCTTCAGCTGCCAGATATTTTTCGAGGAGATGCTGGAGAGGCGGCGCGCGCGGGGTCAGGTGCAGGACCTGGAGTCGGAGGACGGCAAGCAGCCTGGCCAGGAGGAGGGCAGCGAGCAGCGTGCCTTGTCCCAGGGGGAGGACCCTGGGTCTCGCCAGCAGCAAGAGTGAAGCGCAAGGGTGCGTCCCTGACCCTCTATCCAGCACCCCCGGGTCCCTCTTCCGGCCAGCAGGATCAGAGCCTGGGCGCAGGGGGATGGAGTCTCTCCAGGGGCGCAGCATTTCAAAGACCCCAGAGCCAAGAAGAGGGCTTGGAGTGTCTTCCACCGCGCAGAAGCGGAGACAGCACAAGCCTCGGGGGCTCTGATTTTGCAGGAGGGGCTCTACAGTTTCCCCGTTTGCTGTCCAAGAAGTGGATCCCAGGCGAGCCCACTGCAAATGAAGCTTCAGCCCTATTTTTACACTGTTAGGAATCCGCCATTTGCCTGAGTGCTATTCTTATGTTATTGGGATTAAACTTGAGTAACTCAAAGTGGAAGTCAGTGCCTCTTTGAACCACGCTATCAGGTGACATCCACAGAAGCGGCTGTTGCTGTAGGTGACAAAGTGGCACAGAGGAGGGGAGGAGGCAGCTTCTCGGGTGGAGACACAGCTGGGGAACGCCTCACCTGAGCTCCTGGGTGTCGGTGTTAGGTCTGTTAGAAGTTGCCATGCAACGCGCCTATGCCCTCCTGCAAGGTGCATTCGTTCAAGAAAAGACATTGGCCCTGGTTCACGGTGTTAGGTACACCTGCCAGTGGCTCAGAGAAGCCTTTATTCCAAATGCTTATGACCAGAGGGTTCTCGGAGTTACCGAGGTGTCGACATATTTGCATATAAGTAATGAGACACACAGGGCTGGGGGACCAAGTCTAAACCTAAAATTCGTTTGTTTTGTATGTACCTTTACACATTTTCTTGATGGTAATTTTATTTTTAGTGCACCCATGTTTTGACTGTGACTGCACAGAGGATTTTGGAACGTCTTCGATTTGGGGGATTAGGGTTGCTTAGCCTATACACCAAGCTCCGTTATTCTAGGGAAAGAAAACAGACCCCAGGCCAGCGATTGGACCACATTGGGAAAAGCAGGCCACATAGAAGAGGGCCCCACATGCAGGCTGTTGGATCAGGATGGAAAACGTACCCAGAGACAGTGGTCACGGGCCTTGGAGGACAGATGGGAAGAGACTTTGTCAGAGACAGACTGCAGATGTCACAAGTGAATGGTGTCTTGGTGGGAAGTGTCCTCTGTGCACGGTGTGCCCACCACTAGCTGCCCCTCCCCCTGTGGTTGTGACAATCACAAATGTTCCCAGGCACTAACAGCTGTTCCTCATGGACAAAGTAGTCCTTAGACACATACGGGACCTTATGGGAAAGACACGGGACATTTAGGGACTTTCCAGCCACTTGACCTGGCTGCAGTGCTGGAGGTGTTTATCTCTCCAATCATTCTGCAAAAATTTAGCCTCTACCCTGCATCAGGCATTCCACTGGGAACAGAGCGTGAGCAAAGAATGGAAAGCTGATGGGGATGCTGCTTGGGAGTTTGGGTACCAGTTTCCCAACCCTTTTCTACTATTTCTGTCGTCATCTCCCTGTGTCCTCTGCGCCCATTCTGTGCTCTCCCTTAAGCGGAGCACAACCCTCTGTCTTCCTTTGAGTAATCCTGTGCTCATCTGGTATCTCAGTTTAGATGTCACTGTTCCAGAGGGGCCTTCCTCATCAGGCTGCCTGAGTAGAGTACACTGCACAGCTGCCAGTGAGACGGGACAAGATTAGGTTGACACCATGGAAAGCTCTGTCCAGTGGGGTATGGATTGACATAGTAGCACAAAAAACAAAAAGGGGAGAGATCGTTAGGAGCCTCCTGCAGAAGTCCAGGCCAGGAAACTGGTAACACCGATAAGGTAGCAACAGATCCAAAAGGGCTTTGGACCTTGAAACCCACTTCCCATGACCAGGAGCTCTGGGGAGATTTTAAGCAAGCTGGATTTGCATTTGGGAGCGATCACCCTTTCACAGCAAAGGATTGGAGAGCGCCAGCCCTGCTGTGAACAAAACAAGAGCTGTGGGCAGGAGTAACATGAGGGTGACTTCGAAGACTGAAACTGTGGAGCACGGCTAGTGCTTGACAAAGTTGATGAGAGTACCCTGTCCAGAATGACTGCCAGGCATTTGGAGGTGGGTGGTGACTGCTGGTGTCATTTGCAGATATCTCAGTTACTTTTCTCTCGTGGTTGAGACAGAATAACTGATGCCCAAAATTAGGGAAGGAAAGGTTTATTTAGCTCACAGTTTGTGGAGGTTTCAGTCCAGACTCTGTTGGCGTAAAGGCAGGGAGGCTCATCGCAGAGGAGCGACGGTTCACAGTGGCCACAAGCCACAAGAGTGAAAGGGCAAGAGGGGAGGTACACAGAGAGAGGACTCTTACTGCCCCTTAAATTGTATGTAGACCACTTCCACTTGGGTGTGGCATTCATACCCATAATCCACAGATCAGATCATGAGTCATTCACAAACTCTAGAAGCCCATTTCTATGACTCCATGAGGCTTTGGGGCGACATTCAGATTTAAAGCATAACAGCACATAAAAGAACAGGAAGGAGAGAATAAGAGAGGGGAGGAGGAGGAAGAAAAGGGCCAACAGTGGCTCGGATGCTGGTAAGCCCACTTAACGAACAAGCCACGGGAACGTCTGGAAGGGGCTGGCCTGAAGTGTGGGTCTTGGAAGATGCAGGATGAATCCAAGGGCAACCCAAGGGCTGCGATGAGGGGAATATTTAAATGATTAAAATATGGAATGTTGATGAAAAAATCAGTGGATAAGGAAATTTACATGAGGCATAGTAGCTACTTAAGGCCTGGAGTTTCAGCCTTCAAATTCTGATTTCCTAACGGAAATTAGGAAATTTAAAATTTATAGATTTAATCTACAATCCAGTGTGTTCTCTACAATCCAATGAGCTGTCACTCCTGTTATCCGTTTTGTCGGTGAGTGAGCTGACACCTGGCAGGGTCATATGGCCTGTGCAGGGCAGAGCCCGGAGCACACCCAGACAGCCTGGGCCCAAACCTTTGTCCTAGCCAGCACACTGCACCGAGACTCAAACTTGCACATAAAGATAGCTGCAAGATACACGAAACCAAGCTGCCAGTGCACAGGCTGGGCGTTTTAGATTGAGTAGCAGCAGCTGGAGGTCACGGAAAAGATGAGGGGTGATTAGGACAAGTAAGGGATGATGCCAACCTGGTAAGCAAACTTTTGCAGGATGACTTCAGCTGCTGTGGATGGAGAGGAGAAGGCACGGGGTGACTTGTTCTTAAAGCACAACTGTAACTCAACAAAGTATTCATATGTGGTTTAAACATTTGCAGATGAGTCAGATCTCCGCAGATAAGCATCAGGGTGATGGGAACACTTCAAGAGGATCCAAGGGACCCTAAAACATTTTAGATCATGAACTACCTTAAACTTATACTTTCGCAAACCGTATGAAAAGATAGAGCTTATTTTATGAAACTTAGATAAACCCAATTACAAGCTCCGACAAAGATGCCACTAAAAAATAATGACCTATTAATCTCATTTATACACTTTTTTAATGTGGTTCTGGGGATCAAATCCAAGTCCTTGTGCATGCAAGGTGAGAGAACTCTACCACTGAACCACATTCTCAGCCCTAATCTTGCTTATAAACATAAAATGACCAAATTTAAAAGCATGCAAAAGGAGTAACTTATCAGGACTGAATCTGTCACCTCTTGACTGATGATAGTTATAATTAATACTGTTAGCAGAAAATGTCCCCTGCCCCAGCCAGTGTACTTCAGTGGCCCAGGTGACAGTTCCTGTTGCTCGTTTCTTAGAAACCTCTGATCACTATGACTCACACTGTTCACGGTGATGCATATTTTAGAAACCAATCAGAGACAGCCAAGTACTCTACCTCTGTACCTCCCCTATGCAATGCCATAAAAACCTCTCCCCACCCCCTGGACCTTCCAGACCTGACATTTTTATAAGGATTGATGCCTTGTCAGTGCCCTGCCAACATTGAATAAATCTGTCTCCACATCTTGGGTGTCATTCTGATGTTTCTGTTTGTCACTGAAATATTTCATGATGAAAGATTCATCTTATGATTATCTTAATAAATATTAAAACACCAAGATAATTCAACGAGGGAAAGAATTTTACTAGCAAATGGTACTAGGACAATCATTTATCTGCATGCAAAATAATGGAGTTGGAACCCTACGCCATATATAACAATTAGCTCATAATGGAAAAGACCTTAACTCAAGAGCTAAGACTATAAGATTTTTAAAGGAAATATAAGTATGCATTCCCAAGAATTGCAGCATGCTGTAAATGAATGAACCTTGAAAATACTTTGCCAAATGAAAGAAGCCAGACACAATGGTTATGCCACGTGTGATTCTGTGGATCCTGAATATTCCAATAGGCAAGTTTATAGAGGCACAAAGCAGATTAATGGATGCCTGGGATTCAGGATCAAGGGAGGGTTCATGAAATTTTAGGGGACACATTCGAAACAGAATAGTAGGTAAACAGATACTTAGGGAAATATAGAAAATGCAGTGAAATGTCCAGTAATTATCTCCAGTCGGTAATTACTGACCCTTTTTCCCCTCTAGTTCATATTATTTCGTGAGGTGTCTGTGTTAGCAAGTATGGCTTCTAGACTGAAAGGCAGCAAACACTTCATTGTAACAATATCTTGGTTTGAAGTAACTTTGGAGGCCTCCCCTGTTCTATCTGTGGCCTGGAGACCGCACTGTGAGGACCCAGCTCTCACCATCTTATTCTTTGGGTCCTTTAAAATTAAGTTATCTTTAATTAGAAATGTGTAATGGATGCGGATCCAGCCAGCACAGTGGAATAACAATGCTTCCTTGGAAATGTGCCCTTATTTCTTGTGGGAGCTCATGGCAGGCTCAGCACTGGGTACGAGATCCTACACACAGGACCACGGGAGGAAAATCGTGGAAGCAGGATGAAGGAGAGCTGAGAAAGATGGGGGACCGGGGTGGGGGTGGGGGACATAAGTAGCGGATGTTAAGAACAACATGTGATGCATTGACTGGCACTGTCACATCACAAAGCAGGACTGAGTCAGGGGCTTGACAAGGATGGTGGGATCCTACAACCTTCCCACAGCTGCTCATCAGCTCTGACAGGCTCAGGAACGAATGTAGTTATAGGCTGATTATGTCCTCCCCAAATCTAATCTCCAGCACCTCAGAATATTTGGAGTCAGAGTCTTTATTAAGAGGTATTTAAGGCAGAGTGTGGCCATAGGGATGGGGCTGAATTCCATATACCTGATGATCTTACAGGCAGAGGTTATGACTCACAGACGTACAAAGATGGTGTGTCTCACAAAGGGCATGTAGGGTCAGCTTCCCATCCCTGTAACAGCATAGATAATCAG